GCGCCCCCCTACTTCTTTGTCTTGTTGCTTTCGTGGCTCTCTTTGTCTTCTTTGTTGCCGTCTTGTTGTTGTCTTGTTGCTTTCATGACGCTGCTGCTGCCTTCTTCTTTGCCGTCTTCTTTGTTGTCTTGGCAGCCGCGGGCGTTAATGTTGGTGCTGGGTTGCAGAGTGAAGATAGAGAGAGAGGGAGTGCTGCAAAGTGAAGACAGAGAGAGCAAGTGCTGTGAGCGTAAGATTTAGAGTGTGGTGAGAAGTAAAGACTGGCATTATTTAATCAATTTTGGCTTGTGCTTGATTCTTTTTTTTAATGAAAAGGTTGTGGTTAATTTGTTAATATAGTCAATTCCTATATCCAGGAAGAACAAATGGAGAGTTGGGTTGATTTGCTCTCAGGCAATGGGGACAACATTGATCTGTGTTTTGATGACTTTCAAGTTGAAACACATGTTGAACAAGTTGCTGACCATTGTACTCCCCCCCTAAAACCAAGTAAGAAGAGAACTAGAAATTTCATTCCCCAGGAAGACACTATGTTGGTGAAAGCATGGCTAGAAATTAGCTTGGATCCAGTTCAAGGCACTGGTCAAACTCATAGTACTTATTGAAAGTGAATTCATGATTATTATCATGAGCACAAGACTTTTGAGTCCGAGCGTAATATTAGTTCTCTCTCTCACCGTTGGGGCATCATCCATAAAAGTGTTAATAGATTTTGTGGATGGTATACTCAAGTTCAGAACAGAAGAGAAAGCGGGCTGACAGAGCAAGATAAGGTAAGTTGTTTAATTATATTAATTGATTGGAAATGTATATCTTTTGTGCATGGTATCCAACACATGTTTTTTGTACAGATAGAACGGGCAAAGGAATTGTGCCAGGAAAAAGATCCGGAGGGGAAACCATTTATTTTCATGCATTCTGGAATAAGCTGCAGCATGAGCAGAAGTGGGCTGATCTAGGTTGTGAGACCTCTCAAAGCTCTCAGAAAAAACAAAAGACTTCCTCAACCACAAGTCCAGGGTCATGTACACCTAGAACTCATAAAAGTAAGTATGCTGATGAAGAGGACGGACCAAGTCATACATCACCAAGGAAAGGAAGGCCAGATGGTAAGAAGGAGAAAGCACGCAGAGGTAAAAATCCTAACTCTCAAGGAGAAGGCCTTTACATGGAGGCAATGGAAAAATTGTGGGCAAAGAGAGAAAAGGCCGAGCAGATGAAGGAGATTAAGAAAAAAGAACGTAAGGATGAGAGGTTTGCGGTAGAGACTAAAAGGCTTGAAATCAAGCAACAAGTAGCGTATAGGAAGCTAGATTTAATGCAACGAGAAATAGAGTTGAAACAGAGAGAAGATGATGATAAAGTTATGAACATGGACCTTAATGGTATGAGTGAGGGACAAAAGGTGTTTATTTGTCTTTTGTGTGTGCACTATGAAAAGGCCTCTCTATTATTTAGTTGGCATGTAAGCAGCTAGACTTGCTGAAGTCTTGCCTCTTGAACTGTTATTTAGTTGGCATGTAAGCAGCTAGACTTGGTGAAGTTTTGCCTCTTGAACTTACTTACTTAGCATGTAAGACTTGCTGAAGTGGGACTCTCGAGCAATGTGGTGAATTTGGATTTGTGAACCAGTTTGAAATGCAATGTGCAATTTGGATTTAGAATGTGTGTATAAATTTGTGCCTGTGATGCCAAATACAAGTGGTAGAATAATATTTTTTTTGTTTTCCTAGAAAAAAATGGATGTTTATTTGACTGATACATGATTGAAGGGTACATGACTGATAAAATAGAAGGTACTCTACTGGTAAAAATAGATGGTACAAGACTACATGGATATGAAGGTTCAGTACTAATACATGTCCGAGTGATGCTGCCAAAGATGCTCGATAAGATCTCGCTGAAGTTGGGCGTGGATTTGCCTATTTGTGATATTGTGATGAGCTTGTAGGAATTCATGAAACTCCCATGTATGATTACGAACTTCAGTTGGAGTAGGTCTCACAAGCTGGCCGACACCCTCGTAGTGGACGTCTTCGTCTTCGTCTTCACTTCGCTCGTCTTCAACGATCATGTTGTGCATGATGACACAAGCTGTCATTATTTGTCTAAGTGTCGCTTTATCCCACATACGAGCTGGTCCACGAACAATGGCAAATTGAGCTTGTAGAACCCAAAAGCTCTTTCCACATCCTTTTCTAACCGCTTCTTGTGACTTGGCAAAATATTTCTTCTTGTTCCCTTGGGAATTTGTTATGGTCTTCACAAATGTCGCCCATTGAGGGTAGATGCCATCTACAAGGTAGTATCCCATTGTGTAATTATTACCGTTAACGATAAAATTAACTTCTGGGGCAACTTCTTCGGCTAGCCTTGTAAATAGATGGGAACGATGAAGAACATTGATATCATTGTGTGACACCTGGTAAACCAAAAAAGCATGCCAAATCCAAAGATCATGCAACAGCTTCGAGTATTATTGTAGGCTCGTGCTCATGGCCAGTATATTGCCCACCCCATGGGTTAGGACAATTCTTCCACCTCCAATGCATGCAATCCAAACTCCCAAGCATTCCAGGAAAGCCCCTCCGCTGCCCGATTGCAAGTAATCTACTTGTATCATTCTTATTAGGGGATCTCAGATACTCCTCTCCAAACACGTCAACAACTGCTGTGACAAATCTTCTAAGACTTTCTATGACAGTACTTTCACCAATACGAATGTATTGATCTATGAAATCAGCTGGTACTCCATAACTAAGCATAAAAAAGATGCAATAATCTTTTGCAAAGATGATAACCCGAGACGTCCAACTCTATCTCTTTTCTGCTCAAAGTAATTATCATATTGCTCTACAGCTTGCACTATGCGAAGGTATAGCGTATGAGACATCCTAAACCTAAGGGACAAATCCAAACTAAGCAAACATGAACATAGGAATGTGGATAAAGGAGGTACACAGGCTATTAGCAAACCTGCACCAGAAGAAAGGTGGCCCGTAGGTCGGATTTTCGGAGAAATAGTCATCGTACAACCTCTAATGCCCACTTTCTCTGTCCCGATGAATGTACTGACGCCCAGGTACAGAACCACCCCATCGTGGAGCATGGAGAGCGTGATATTGAGTATGTGCTTGGTGTAACGCAGTAAGGGGTTCCTCAAGAGCATCATCACCATCATCGGATGAAGAAGATGAATCTAGTCGGGAGAGACGACTCATTTTTAGTGGACAAGAAGCAACGCAATGTTGGAATTGGTTGAGGAAAGGGAATGTCCATACATATATATATAGACGAAAAAATATAACCGTTGCAGATAGAGCGACCGTTTGATTTATAGCCGTTGGAAAAGCGACCGTTTGATTTATAGCCATTAGAAGAGCGACCATTTAATTTATAGCTGTTGAAAGAGTGTCCGTTCAAATATATAGCCGTTCTAAGACTGACAAATAAAAAAATATAGTTCTAAATTATTTGAAAAAATAATTACTTCAATATTTAGCCATACAAAATTGTCATTAAGAAATGTACATTCCAATAATACAAACGCAGTTTAGATATAAAATGTTAGATTTGGTAGTTACAAGTTATGTATAAAATATAGGTGAGAGAAAATAGAGAGCCTGAAATAAGAGTTTGGTTGAAGAGTAGGGAGAAATAAGGATTGGAATCTGAATGAGGGATCCTCATTTTTAGGAGCAGGGGGCTAAATTTGGAGGGATCGGTTGGAGTTGTCCTTAACTTTGCGATTTAACCGTTTAGTTCTTCAGACGTGCTCGTACGGTAGAGTTTACGTGTGTTTAGAGGGTGAATGTACACATCAGCATGTGGTTAATATCTCACTGCGGCCCGCTGAGCCCGACGCGAAAATGCTCCAGGCCTCCACGAATCTGGGCGGTCCGCTGAGGCTTACTACCACCACACCAGATCTTTCTTTCCTGTTGCTTCCTCGGCTCGCTTCCTCCACTCCCGTCCCGTTCCGTCCCTCCCCGCGTCGCCTGCTTCTTCCCCCAACCAAACACACACAAATCCGCCATGGCGCTCGTCTCCGGCACGTCCCGCCCCCTCCTGAGTCGCCCCGCCGGCACCGCGCGGCCCCACCTCGCCGTATCCTCATCCTCCCCCGCCTCCTCGATCCGCTTCTGCCGCGGCGCCGGCGGCGGTAGGGCGGCCGTCGTCTCCCTCCGCGCCCCCGCGCCTCCAGGTTTCTTTTCCCTGCGTAATAATAATTAGAAAGTAGTTGGGTTGTGCACTTATGCTCTTGGCAAATGATTTGGGTTTGGGTTGTGGAGACGTATGAAAACTGAACTTTGTTTGATCCGTGATGCTCTAGCTTCTGAATACGGTCACAGTCACAGGGACGATAGTCGATATGGATATATTACGTGCAAGACTCTTACAGAGCAAGCTTAGCTTCGTTTCGTAGCCGCAGAGATTATGAAATGCTTTAAATCGGCTGTCAGCAGTAGTATAAGATATATTCTGCTTCAACAGAATTCCAATTAAGCACACACTTATCGCAATCTACTATTGCCTTTCGCGTATACTTGAGAAAAATGCCTTTTTGCAGTAATATGAATTAGCTTTTCTGTTGGCTACCCTCGTGCTCAGTTCAATGCTTGGCAGTTTCGACCTTGTTTCTTTCATTGCCAGGTTATCCGCATTCGGTTTATCCTTGAAGGCTTGAATCACAGAGGTTTAAACTTCACTGCTTTCAGAGAAGTAGAAAGCCTCAGACATACTAGTTCCCAAGTAGTACATCGTATAACCTTATAAATCCCAAGGACTGTGGTACATGACAGTTTTGCTTGGGGTTACCTGGATTTTGTTTCCTTTTTTCATCAAGCCACAAGTAAAACTTCCCCTTTCTAAAGCTCTGTGTAATGTGCAAATACAATACTCATGACCTGTATAATTGTCAACTAGTAATGGTAAAAAGTTAAATCTCCCCGTAAACCCTAGCCAAAACCCCTCCTGCTCCCCACTCGCCGCCCGTCACCATGTCGATGGCGGTGGCCTCCTCCCTCCGCTCCCTGGCGCGCCGCCGACCCCGCCTACGCTTGCCCGCTGCACCGCTCGTCGTCCCCGGCGGCCGCGCGGCATTACTCTCCGGCGCGGCCGAGGAGGCGGCCCCGCTGGCTGCTGCGGAAGCGGCGGCGGCGCCGCCGCCTGCCCTGGGTCGGAAGGTGCTAGAGAGCTTCCGGGAGGAGTTCGAGATCGGGGGGCGCTCCATCGCCTTCGAGACGGGAAAGATGGCGCGCTTTGCCAACGGCTCCGTGGTGATCTCCATGGAAGACACCCATGTCCTCTCAACCGTCGCCGCCGCCAAGTCCTCTGAGCCCGTTCGGGACTTCCTCCCACTAACTGTACGGATAACCCCCTGTATTTTTTTCTTTTAATGTGATCGTTATGTGAGTTTGTAGAGAGCGTTGAGTTCTACAAGGAATGCCCAATTCATGTACTGCAACTGATGAATCTTGCAATTTGATATGGTTCTATACTGCCGTAATTGACCCCCATTCCATGCTCATATTTTAGCTTTTGAGGTTTTATATTGAATTTGGTTCACATTTCACAAGCCTGTTTTATATTGCAGATTAATAACTGTTCTTAACTGTGCAAATAGGGGCCCAACTGGCTTTTTTTTTAATATTAATGAAACTAAAAACTGGTGCCAGTTGTCAGTTCGATGCATATTGAGTTTGAAATGATTGCAAAACTGCAAAAGCCCTATCTGGTTATGTGGTCAACTAGCTGTGTCGTGTATGGTGTGTTATTTAATTTGTTATTTAGTATGATTCTAAATTGTAAAAATGCTGAATGTTAGGATGTCATTGTCCAAAAAAGAAAATGATCTTTTGTGCTACATTCAAAATGGAAAATTGAAGTTTTGTTTGTCCTTGCATTTTTAATTGAACATTCGTTCTGTATCTTGTGAGTACTATTTTCGTGTTTCTTTGCCTCAGCAAAGTTTTTCGTTTCTGGGTGGCTGTAGGTTGACTATCAAGAGAAACAATATGCTCAAGGTGTTATCCCCACAACATATATGCGCAGGGAAGGTGCTCCTAAGGAAAGAGAACTCCTGTGTGGGCGTATAATTGATCGGCCAATAAGACCATTGTTTCCTCCTGGCTTTTACCATGAAGTTCAGGTATTCTTCTCATGATGCGTCAAATTCTCAAAGTTGGCTAAACCATCAGAACTCATAGCTAACATTATATCCTGCTTTTTTAGATCATGGTAAATGTTCTTTCATCAGATGGAAAGCAAGATCCAGATGTAATGGCTGCAAATGCCTCTTCAGCTGCACTAATGCTATCTGATATACCTTGGAATGGGCCGATTGGAGTAATACGTGTAGGGAGAATTAATGGGACTTTTGTCTTAAATCCCACAGTGGATGAGGTAAATTGGATTGGTTTACTGACATAGGAATCATTGTGTTCTACCCTGAGTTGTGCATGTATTGTTTCCATGATATTGTACATTTATACTGCTTGTGGACTTGATATTTCTCTACCATTTCATAGCATATCTGAACGTCTCAATTTTTTTTGACCATGTATATTCTACACTACTAGAATTTGTCTGGTTGACTCATATTTTGTGTATGTTGTACGGTGCTTTGCAGCTAGGTTTGAGTGATCTCAATCTTGTTTATGAATGTTCACGGGATAAAACTTTAATGATAGATGTACAAGCTTGTGAAATAACTGAGAGGGATCTTCAGGCAGGAATGAAGCTTGCACACTCTGAGGTATTTTCTTTTGTCTTCTGCTTCTTGATATATTGTAAGCATATTCTCATGTGTTCGTTATTATGCTCAGGCAATTAAATGTATCGACCCTCAAATAAGGTTGGCTAAGCGAGCTGGCAAAGAGAAGAAAGAATACAAGATATCACTGATTTCAGATACATCCTATGAGAAAATTAGAACATTCTCAGAAGCACCCATTGAGGAAGTCTTCACTGATTCATCATATGGCAAGGTCAAGAGAAGCCAAAATATTCAGTGTTGATCATTTCTTTACACACACATTTGTTTTAGGGCCACCAGCAATTGCCTTGAAGTCTTCAGGGCGTGAACTTATTGGATGTTTTCATTTCAGTTTGAACGGGGGGAAGCTTTAGAAAAGATCACACAATCTATGAAGGCAAAGCTTGAAGAAGAAAATGATGAGGACAGCTTGAAGTTTCTTCATAAGGCAGTTGACACAGTGAGAAAACAGGTAGCCCACATTAATTTCTTCGGCCAAATTTGGCAAGGAAAACAAATAGCTTTGAGCATAAAATAAATGCATGGATATAATGTTAGTCTAAATTATTCCGCCATGATTTCTGAAGATACTGCTATCCATTAGTTATGGGAATTTCTGAATATCTGTGCAATTTGTTTATGGTTCTTAATAGACTGAGATCTGCATCTCCCAGCTATACTTGACACAATGACACCACTTGATGCCACTTCATTCATTGGCTCATTGCTATAATCTTATTAAATCACCTGTGCTACTGTGTCTTGACACTGGCTTGGTGTCCGATTGTGCAGGTTATACGTAAAAGAATAATTGAAGAGGGACTTAGAGTAGATGGTAGACAACTAGATGAAGTGAGACCATTGTATTGTGAATCCAACACATATCCAGTATTACATGGGTCTGCCCTGTTTTCTCGTGGAGACACGCAGGTGCGCTCTATCGCTTGCTCTCTCTCTACAGTGCACAGTACGAAATGCTACAAGTATACAACCACACATTCACATAGTATTATTTGTCTGAATTTGGATGGACTTAACTATATTTTCAATCAAGTTATTGTATATATATACCCATGCAAATAAGTAACCAGTACTATGGTTGTAGGTTCTTTGTACAGTTACCCTTGGTGCTCCTGGCGATGCTCAGCGGCTGGATTCAATTGTTGGCCCTCCAACAAAACGTTTCATGCTTCACTATAGCTTTCCCCCATTTTCAATAAATGAAGTTGCCAAACGTGGAGGCCTGAATCGACGAGAAGTAGGACATGGTAGCACTTTTTTTTCATTCCATATGCTAAATGAATTGTCCTGAAATCTAGTTAAATGGATTTCTTGTATCCTCACCTAGTTTGGTTCATATAGAGGCTTACCAACGTGATGGAGTTAGCCTTACAATGGTACCTGTGATAGTCTACTAGTATTATCCTAGCATATAAAAGCTTGGGAACTATCAAATAGTGGATGAAAGCTTGACAATTTGCTGTTGTTTGGGCATGCATGGAGTACTATGATACGCTGAATGCCATTTTCCCCTTCAGATCTTCTAGATTTAATCCTGTCCTGATTTAGATTTGGATGAAGCAAAATGAAAACCAATATTGCAGCCATTTATTTTATACCATTGTGTAGGCACTCTTGCGGAGAAAGCATTGCTTGCTGTGCTTCCTCCAGAAAGTGATTTTCCATACACCGTTCGGGTAAATTCAGAAGTCATGGCATCGGATGGTTCAACATCAATGGCATCAGTATGTGGAGGTATACCACAAACCATTTTTCTCTTATAATGGTGCTATTCTTATAAAACTCCATCTTTCAGTTGTGGCTTGGAGATGCGTTTTGTGAGAGCTATGCTATTTATTGATATTTCTCTATGGCCTACAGTTTTTTGTTTTGTTTTGTTTTGCGGAACTTAACTCTTGGTTGGCAACATGGTGTGATTCTTTCATTTGCAAGACTATGTACTTCACTGTGATAAGAAATAGATTGACTGCCTAGTTTTATCCTTCTAGCATAACAAAACTTGTTTTTTGCACCACCTTTGTCATTTCTGACATACACGCAGCGATAATATGCTTTATATAAGATAATTTATATAGTTTTTATTCATTTCGTATAGTTTCTTGGGTTGATGCGTGAATTTTAGTGTAAACTACCTTTTCATTGTTAATGTGGTATCCTTGAACAGCTAGTTTAGTATAAAAAAAAACAAATCAGTCGTAAAGCCGCTTTAAGACCAGGCCGAACAGATTATTCTCTTCTTCCTCTCTGCCTTGCGCTGCAACTCTCCCCGCGTCAGGCCGCCGCTCCTCCACCTGCACCGGCCCACCGCTCCTCCGTCCACGCCGGCGCGCCGCCGCTGCTACACTCGCGCGCGGCGCGTGGCTGCTCCGCTGCGCCCGTCCTCTGCTCCTTTCCCCGCGCGCCGCCCTCTGCTCACTCCCCCACCGCGCCTTCTGCTCCCTCCTCTGCAGCTGCTTCGCCTGCCCTCTCCTCCCCCAAGCTGCCCCCTTCTCCTTCCCCTCGTTAGCCTGGACGAGGACCACGCGGTGGCGGCACTCGCTCGCGCAGTAGAGCTCGGCCTCCCTAGGATTGGGCCAGCGACCCGGCTCCCTCCCCCGCCTGCGACGCCGGTGGCCTCCCCCGACCCGACTCCAGCCAGTGCCCGCCCCGCCCCTGCGACGCGGTGGCTTCCCCGACCCCGACTCCAGTCCGCGGCCACGACGCCGGCCCGCGCGCTCCCCCCGCTGCGTCTCCCCAGTCTTTGCCGGCGGCGGCGGCTGGGGCTGGAGCTGGGGTATCCACCGCCGGAGACCTCAGGAGCGTCGTCGCCTCGCAGATGGAGGACCTCAAGCGCCACCTTGACGCTCTCCACTCCCGCGCACATGCCGACCTCGACGCCTCCTTCTCCCGCGTCTCCAAGCGAATCAAGGTGAGCCCGCCGTGAGCCACTCCCGCACCCCGCTTCCCTCCCACTCGCGTCGTTAGGGTTCAATTTCGAGCTTCGTGGTTTGCTTCGCCCGATTTCTGCCAACAGACACGTAGTGCTCCAGATTGTTGGTTGATGCCGTAGAGCGCTAGCGTGTGGGGAGGGCTGGAGATAAACCTGGTCACATGAATTGCCTTCGTGTCATTTATAGAGTCATGATCATGTCTACTAGGTTGGTTCATTTGCTTGCTGTATGCATCCCTGTCGATTTGTAGATTCAGCAAGACTTTGTTTATAAGCATATCTGAAAAATTCTTTGTTGCGCTGAACATCTGATATATGAGGTCACTATATCTGAGTTTCTACAATTGGCATATGAGGATTGAAGTTACTGTATCCACTACGGGATACAGTAGTTTTGCCGAGTGCTAGGGGCACTCGGCAAAGGCCCAAAAACACTCGGCAACTGCTTTGCCGAGTGTAACACTCGGCATACGACACACGGCATCTTTGTGTCGGCAAACAGCTATTTGCCGAGTGTTTTTTATCGCGCACTCGGCAAATGGTCTGCCGAGTGTCAAATTTGACACGGCAAAAAAAAAATTGGTTTGCCGAGTGTTTTTTATCGTGCACTCGGCAAACCTATTTTTCAAAGAAAAAAAATTATCCGGACAGCAAGGAAATCAGCCCCTGAGGATGCAAACCAATAATCATTCTGTAGTTTGAAGCACACCAGTACTAGAAATTTACACTTGCAAATTGCAATCCATCTCTACAGTGCTGGGAGGCTCAACTGCTTGCTGCTGAGGGGCAGGAGGCGCAGGAGGCGACGAAGCAACGACGGATGTGCAAGCGCTGGGGAGGCATGACTAGCTGTTGAGGGACGAGGCGACGAAGCAGCCGACGGAGGCGCAAGCCATGGCCCCAAGCTGCCAGCGGCCACGGCCCCGGCCCTTGCTTCCTCGACAACGCGGAGGCATCGGCGGCTCTGGCCCCAAGCCACGCGGAGCTCTGCACGAGCGACGTGGTCTCGTACTGGTTCGACTTGGACCTGCACAGCAGCCACCGCAACCACGGTTAGCGGAATCGAATCGAACCGAGAAATGACCAGATGCATGTAACAGACGGAGAAGAAGCGGCGGCAACGCGGATCTCACCTCTTGTACTTGGAGTTGACGACGTAGAAGGTGATGTGCTCGACACGGTAGTTGCTAGCCGTGCCGAACTGTACTTGGAGGATGATCTCTCCAAGCGGTTTGGATGCCCTGCCAGGTACCACACCCCAGAAGGAGTCGGAGGGTGTGAGGTCTCCTATCCCAATGCCCAGCTCCTGTAGGGCTCCGGCGAAGAGGAGGTTCAGAGCACTTCCGCCGTCGACGAGTATTTTCCTGAAAACCACTTTCTAGACGGTTGCATCAAGAACGAGGGGGAAATGCCCTCTCTGTAAGGGATGTCCGCCCACTAGTCGGCCCTGCTAAAGGTGATGGGGACCTCGGACCAGGGGCGATAGCTGGGGTTGGCGACGGCGTCTTCCGCGTTGACAGCGAGCACCTGGCGGGCGGTGAGCTTTCGATCTCTTCTGCTTTCGGCGGCTGCGAGGCCCCCTAAGATGGTGGCGACCACTTTGTCGTGATCCTGGAAGGCCTTGTTATTGCCTCTAGGTGGTCGGCGGCCTCCGGCTCCGTCGTTGTTGTCGTCGTTTGGCTTTTTAGCCTGGAACTCTTAGCTAAGCCAAGGCAATCCTTTATGTTGTGCTTTGTGTTCTTGTGGAGGGGGCATGGGCCTTCGAGGATCTTCTTGTACTGCTCGTCGTAGTTGCGCTTGGCGCGAGGTTCGTCAACGGCGGCGACGATGTGGTCTGGTCGGCGGCGGCGATATTGACCATATTTGGACCCTTTCGACTGATCACGGCCACTGTCCTGACGGTGGCCGCGGTCGTCGTTGTGGCGTCTGTCGTCGGGGCGTTCGTTGCTGCGGTGAGTGCCCGCATCCTGGTTAAAACGTACTTCGGCCTCTTCTACGTCGGCATCCAGGTGGACGGAGTGCCGGACTTGTCGGCCCCCTCTACACTTGTACCTCTATGTTCGTCTTACTAATTGGAGTAAGAAGTTTGTGTTCATCTTTTGGTTTTGATTCCCTAAGTCAAGATTATCATTGTTGCTACTTGTGGGTTCGTCATCCGTCCTCGCGGTGGGTGCTCTAGTAGAGGACTCCTGATAAAGATGAAAGTTCCTGGCCAACGCTAGAGTAGTAGCGGTTAGCGAAGACGTGGTGTCTAAGCTACACGTTACCTTCGTTTGCCTCATATCCCACGGTTGAGGGGTAGGTGGCAGGTGGTGACAGCTCTGTTCGTCCTTCGTAATCCCCCATGTTTGGATACGGCATAGAGCCATAGGCTAGATTCACCTGGCAGACCAAGCAAAAACCAGTGCCCGAAGTGAGTCTGTAGTAGCAAAGTTATCTACACTTAAGGTTTCTACCCTTAGAAGAACCTCACTACCCAAGTTACCCATCATCCTTTTCTCCTAGGTGAACTAGCCAAGAGACTACTTACATTACCGTTCCTTCGGGAAAATACGATACCCTGAATACTTCCGGGTGAAGTGCTACAACGGTACTTCCATGCGCATGCGGACTTTTCTGCTTACGCTAAGACGCACCAACAAATATTCCGTCGAGGGACAAAGTGTTCGTCGAGGTACAAGTTCGGGGAGATATCGACAAGTCTGGCTCTTCCCCATACTCTTCCCTCACATCTCTCCCAAATACTCAACTCTACTAGCTATGGCCTAAGCCTTGGACTGATGCTCAAGTGTGGTGCTCTTTCCCTTGGAGTGTTGTTGTAATGCGGAGGAGGAAGCCTCCTTTTATAGGTGGAGAGGAGGGGGTCTTTGGAAAATGCTCATCCCCTCATGGAAGGTACCAAACCGACCTCTAGGTACGCTGAACCTAGGCGTCACCCTGTGAACCGTCCTTAGAGAAGCGATATGAACCGACCTGGCAAGGTTGGGCTCGAGACAGGCCACCAGGGGTGTGCCCGCACCATGGGTGTAGCTGCACCCTAGGTGGGCCACCTTGAGTTTAATTTTGATGGGCTGCCTCTTCTGATCTCCTGGACTTGGGGCACTGCGGTGTTGCATAGAGTTTGAGTTGGTTTGGTTGGATTTTGGGCTTGTTCTCCACTTGTTCTGGGCCCTGATTTGCTTGGTTGTGGGCCTCCTTCTTTGGGCTTACTTGGGCCAAGATGAAGATTGAATGTTTCTTCTATATTTCCCTCTACTTTTGGCCCATCTT